GGAGGGGTACGAACGGAGGGTTTAAAGGGGGGTGGAGGGGTGGGGTAAAGTTCCAAAATGGAGAGTTGAAAGTTTGAAAGTTGATTTTGATTGGAAAATGATTGCAAAAGTATACGGTTACGACCGTTTCAGATACGTGTAACGGTACGAAACGGGGAGTTTTGATTGGAAAATGATTATTGTTTCAAAAAGTTGATTGGAAAATGATTACTGCAAACTTTCGTTGATTGGAAAATGATTACTCCAAAAATTTGTTGATTGGAAATTGATGATTGCCCTGTCAGCTACGGAACATCGGAACGGTTATTAAGGCTGTAAGCGGCCAGTGGTACCCTGAGCCTCGGAGTCGGATTCGAACTTCGGAATTCCGAACTCGGAAGTTCAATTACCGTTGGGAGTCTACGGGAGACCGTTTCAGAGTCACGGCGGCCCGACGGTCCATGATCTGATCGTATACTAGCGGTGACAGAGAGGGTGAGTCATATCAGTATGATCCACAGGGTCCGGCCGGACCGGGTGATCGGACCGAAACAAACTTTGCGAGTTGGCGCGGAGGGCCCGATCGAGTCCGATGATCGGACCCGGCGGCCGCGGCGGCCGGGCGGCGCCGGGCCCGGGGCCCCGGGCGGCCCCGGCCCGCGGCCGCGCCATCATGCCACTAAGCACAGTGAACGCCTGGATCCCGGAGTCCAGCCTGATTCAAGCCGGACTCGGGAGGCCGCCTCCGCCGGGCCGCACTGGCGCGCGGCCGTTCTCGGGGCCTCCGTCGGCGACCGACCGAGTAATCGGCCCGGCCCAGTGGCAGTACGGTATGCCAGGCTTTTAGTCAAAGTTAAGTTAAAAACAAAGGATTAAATTTTAAAAATCAATATTATGCTCTGGTCTGCCAGTGACTGTGGCTGAAACATCGGGAAAAGTGCCAATGCGAAACAGTAGCTGTGTGGGCATGGGAGGCTTGAGCGGGAAGATGGGAGCGTTGGGTATGGAGGAGAATGAAGAAGAGGAGAAGAGTAGTGGCAATAAGAAGTATCAGAACAACGTGGGCAAGGCGGAGGAGGAGGGGGTGGGAAGGGGGGGGGGGGGCACGATGAACATGATCGGAATCGTCACACTAGTACAACTTGGAGGCAACCTGATGCCGAAGCTGAGAGGCGACACGGGATTTCATCGAGTCCCTTCGAAGGAATGTCCTGTGCCATCGTGAGCGTTGGGGGGAGCGTGAGATGGGAGGAGGGAACTCATGGCCCTAGAATCTTTCGTGGAAGGCGACAGCTTTATCTGATAGCAGATCATGAAGGCGCCAAGTTGAGATCAGGGGGAATCGGTACGGATCGCAATCACTTATGGCAGCTGGAGAATGTTCGAGAGGAGGAGAACGTCTTGTGGTTTGGTCTGAGATCGATGAACAACGGGAAGGTGTTGTCCAGCACAGAAGACGGGGTGAAGTCACTGCCTTGACTGCTCGATGGAAAGGACGCAGAGCTGACACAGGAGCAGGAGATCAAGATGGTGGATCAGCTCGATGAGGATTGTATCTGGAGAGTGAGGAGCGTTTGTTTCTTGTTGGTTGGTTATGAACCTCTTCTCCCTCCTCTCCCTCTGTAGATTCCCGTCGAAGCAGCTCGCTTGCTTGTCGGCCTTCCGTGCAAGGTTCCCTTGGCTCGGGGTGTGGAGAGGTCTGATAGTCTGCAGGTGAAGTCCTCCTGCGACAGTAAGACCCCGTCCTTCCTTCCCTTTCTCACCTCATGCAGGATACTTGTCGGTAGCCCCTTCTATGGGTAACGAGGAAGGGTCGAGCCAACAGCATGAGAGGATTGTGCGGACGACAGCAGATCGAAGAAAGAAGGCAGGAGAGTTCTGCTTCCATGGGCTGGGAAGAAGAGCAGAAGCTGTGTGGGGATGGAGCTCGGTCAAGAAAGAGTGAGCTCGGCTGTTCTGATCCTTGCAGTAGCGGGTATGAATGTTCACTGCAGACACACATCGCACCCCAGTCTTGAGGCTCTTGATGGGAGGAGATGGATCCTGCTGATTCGCCATGGTCTCTCTGTTGCAAACACACAGAAAGATGTAAGGGGAGCGGGAAGAGACAGAGGGGGACGGAGACAGAAAAGAGTAGGGAGGGAGGCAGGAGGGGGGGCAGGCAGGCAGGCATGCAGGCAGGCAGAAAATTCTGTTCAGATGCAGGATAAGGGTGGGAGGGATGTGCGGGATGAGTCAAGGTGCAGCAGGAGGTGGGAGAGAAGGAGCAGAGTAAGCGGAGAAGATGGCGGGGACGAGGAGGTCTGCTGGCTCATCTGGCTGACTCCGCGACTCTCCAGGTATTCTTCGGCAGTTGTGATGAGCGGTGCGTTGAGCTGCAGAGACAGGAAGAGGAGAGATGACGAGGGGGGGGAGGAAGGGGGGGGAGACACGTTCATAATCCGATTCTACCTCGCCAGCTTCATCGATGCAGGGCTGAGCCCCGTCGGCCGACGTCAGGTACTCGCACAAGCCACGTCCCTTGCTCTTTCCCCTACCTCTTGCCTTGTCCCTTTCCTTGTGTGTCCTTCAAAACTCTGATCCACATTCTCTATTTCCTCCCTCTCCCCTCTCTGCCCCTCCCACAACCATACCTCACGTCTCTTCTCGATTCCTTCTCTCTTTCTATCACGCTCTCATTTGCTGCCCTTCCTCTCTATCGCTCGGATTGCTGTCCCTCTCCTTCCTTTCCCTCTCGCACCAGCTATGGCGAGCTTACCGCCACGAACTCGCGCGTGCAGGCAGAAGCTCTATCCCCCGTGCTCGAGGCCTTCAAGCCTGACCTCATCCTCTCGTCTCCGATGCGGAGGGCGATTCAGACTTGCATGCTCGCCTTGGAGGGATCCCCGTCCTCTCCTCCGATCGTGCTGCACCCGGTGATATCTCCTGCGAGACTTCTCATTCCCCTTCCGTTCCTTCCAATTCTTCTCTCCATCCACCGTTCATCTTCTCCCTCCCTCCTCCCTCCTCCCTCCTCCCTCCTCCCTCCTCCCTCCTCCCTCCTCCCTCCTCCCTCCTCCCTCCTCCCTCCTTATCAATGTTTCATCAGACAGCAATGGAATGTGCGGGAGAAGGTCACGAGAATGAAGGCCGGGTCGTCGAGCAAGTCAGTGATCTGTTATGACTCCCCCTGCTCCTCCTGATCTCCCTCCAGCCCGTTGCTCCGCCTCCCTCAACTTGATCTTCAACTCTCACTCTCTTCATCTCAACAGATCTCGCAAGACGTGGAGTTTCAGTGCTTCGCACATTGGAGGAAGGTGAACCTGCAGGAGATGCCGGATGGCGCATGGTGACTCTAATGATGGGCGCGGGAAGAAGGGGAGAGTAAGTCCTGGGCAGGTGGGAGGAGGAGAGAGAAAGGATCAAGCAAGCTGGAGGAAGGAAAGCTCAGGTATGGTCTACGAGGTGGAGGGAGATGAAGGTGATGAAGGCAGCAGGCAAGGAGTCTGGTCTCCTGGTTGAAGCATCGCTCAGAGCGGAAGGTTTCATCCTCCTCCCCTACTGCACCATCTCCAGAATCGAATCAAATCCAGTCAGCTCCTCCCCGTCTCCCTAATCTCGTCCCTTCCTCTCCTCTGGTGTCTGCTGTCCTGTTGAGAGCTGATAATCTACAGATTGCCGTATTCACACACTGGGGGCTGGTACTGAACCTTCTCCTCTGCCTCACTCTTTTCCTTCCCGTCTCCCTCCCCTTCTTGCGCTCGTGACTTGAAGGTTGTTCCCCTGCCATCTTACGTACGAGCAGGTCGAGGCCTTCAGCGGAAGAAGCGCCAGCAACGGAGGACCGATGATCGACTTCCTCTTCGCTCCTGTTGACCCCGCTCTCCCTCCCCGCAAGTGGGATTGGTTTCATGCTCGCAAGAGGGACTGACAGCAGGGAGAGAGGGACGTCCGAAGTAGCAAGAGTTCATATCAAAGAGGAGCTCGGAGATCTGCCTGAATTCTATCCTGCCTGTTAAGCATCTGCTGCTGATTACGGTGCATTTCCATCTCGATGTACCTGGAAGCAAGTGTTCAGTTCTCCCCCCAGCAGCCTCATCGGCCCCTCTGCATCCTCGTAGCTTCACTGGTCCTGTTGACCTTTCCTCCTCCTCCTCCTCCTCCTCCTCCTCCTCCTCCCCTCAGACATATCGTAACCTCCCCTTCTCTCCCTCCTCACTTACCTCTGACACTCTTCCATACTCCGCGTTCCTACCTCCTAGCACACGAATCAACACGCTCGGGCAACACAAGAAGCTCGCATGCGCTACCCTCGCTATCAGCTCCACGTGCTGTGTGCCATGAGTGTGAAGGGCACGGAAGAGAGTCTCCCGCTCCTGCGCGCTCCATGGCCTGACGCTCCCTCCTGCCATACCAGCACCGGGCTGAAGCATCTGCTCCCGAGGTCGGTTGGGACTGGCAGAGGACGTGAGACGAGCAGGTGACGGTTGATTGAGAGTCACCTCAACCCCCTCGCGTCCCCAGCTCCTTCCTCCGCTGTGAACTTGCGCGCTGCCGGCATGAACTGGCTCCCACCTGCTGGGGTTGATCGTCAGTAAGGAAGGAGGAGAGAGAAAACCTGCGTATTCGTTCTCGATCTCTCAGACTTTCCCTATCCATCCACAACTCTTCGTCCTCCTTTCCCTCCCTTTTCTTCTCTTTCTATCTGGCCCTCTCGCTCTCCAACTTTCCATTGCCTTCCTGTAGTGTAGAGCTCGTGTCAAACAAACCTGAAGAAGCGTCGGGAAAGCTATCCTGCCCTTGGTTCACCCTGGCATGCATCGCAACATTGCTGGTGTTGTTCACCACCTGATCCCCGATCGTTCCCAACATGAACTGAAGGCAATCAAAGTCTCATTCATTGAAAGCAACCAAACTGAAGCTCACGAGATTCTTGTGAAGCTTCTGCAAGTAAGCTGCGCAGTGCTGTTGCCTCCCTTGCATTTGGTTCTCGACGATCTGGACGATGCGATGGTCATTCGTGAAGAATTCTTCCGCATCTCGATGTCCATCTTACAGGCCTCAGCCTCCTCTCCTCCCCCACCCTCCACCCAACTTTACTGATGTCGCTCCGTGTCTTCTTGCCCCTTCCCCCCAACCCATCCCCACCACCTGCTCCTTCCTCTCTCCTCCCCTCTCCTCCTTTCATCTCCTCCTCCCCTCTCCTCCTCTCATCTCCTCCTCCCCTCTCCTCCTCTCATCTCCTCCTCCCCTCTCCTCCTTTCATCTCTTCCTCTCATCTCTTCCTCTCTCCTTCCCTCTCCCTCTCTCCTCCTCTCCCCTCCTCTCGTCTCACCGCGAGGATCAGCTGCTGGTTCTCGTCCAGAATCTTTTGCACGCTGCTTCTGCTCATTCCCTCCATCTTCCCGCCAATATGAACCACCCCACCCTACCTGTATTTCAGATCGCCCTAGTATTTTTGGGGACCCACCCTGGTGTTGAAATACAGTCCTTTTACACTAGAAACTACCGGTCATTTCATACAGCTCAGGACATCACCCCCCACCCCCCGGTTTCCACGACCAGCCCTAATAAATCTGATCACCCACCCTATTTGTCTAATTGACACCACCCCACCATTTTCCTTTTGGGAGACCCTACCTTAGAGAGAATATTTTTCCAAGGAGGGTTTCCCACAACTACTAAGCCTGAAAACAAACTTGAATAGAGCCGGTTTATTTGATATCAAATTTTATGGTAGGGGTACATCATGGATACCCTCACCGGAAATTTCTGGGCCGTCAGTTACCGCCATGGAGTGAACCTCCGTTCTAGCGAGCAAGGGAAGCTAAGTCAGGACGAGGACGAGGACGAGGACGAGGACGAGGACGAGGACGAGGACGAGGACGAGGACGAGGACGAGGACGAGGACGAGGACGACCTGGTGAAGGGAGACATGTTGTGGTGAAGAGACTGTGATTCCTGTCATGGAGATGCAACAGTAAGCATTCCTCGACGTAATAAGCAAACAATGCGAAGCTGATGGGAACCCGTCGAGGTCTAAGGAAGCGAACAGAAAGAGGTCAATTGAACAATAAGACGGCATGCTGAGCTGTCAAAGTAATTGAGCGTGAAATTCAGCCAGTGCAAGACTTTGAGAAAGACGTGAAAGCATGTTTCATGACGACGGTAGAAATATGGTGGGCAGGTTGAGTCGGAATGATCGAAGTATGCAAAACGAGAACTTGAGTCTAGCCCAGCAGCTCAAGCAGCAGATGCAGAGCGATAGAGACAGGAAGAAGAGGATGAAGGAGGAGGATCAATCAGGTACCAACCACAGCAAGGGTGCAGTAAATGAGAATGGGACAGCTGACAGTGTTGCCAGGGCATCAAGGTTTGCTGTTGCCTTCCATGCAAGGAAGAAACAACCAGCAGGACTCCCTCAGGTCTTATTGGTCTTTGACTTGATCTGACAGGTGCTGACTCCTTCTCCCTGCAGTTCGTTCCTTCAGGACCATCATGCAGAGCGACGAGAAGTGTTGTATCCTCCAGTGCCCGGGAGAAGACTGATGATGGAGGGGAGGTTGGAGCAGCAGGGTGTCAATCTTTCCGCCTGGGAGCAGGTGCGACCCTCGTTTCTTCCTCCCATGGATCCGTGGAGGAGGGAGGAGCCGCGAGCCGTCCCCGCTGTTGATCCCAAGAGAGCCTACGCTGAGGAGCTGAGAATGCAGATGGAGGAGAATCGACAGCGAAAGCAGGCAGAGAAGCAGCAGGAGAGAGAAAGGAGAGGCTGGCAACCCATGGATGCTCCTCCTCAGCCCCTTCCCTATGCCTTCCCTACCGCCAGGGCTCCTCCCAAGGACTTCTTGTCCCCTTTCCGTCTGAACTGGAGGGAGGAGGAGAAAAACTTTCTCCGCGCTCCTGCTCCCCTCGGGGTGAAGTACCTGAGCAAGGACCCGCCAGTCAAGTTCGAGGAGAGGAGGAGACCTCAGCAGGAGCTGCAGCAGGACGTGAGAGCGTCCAACGCCCAGCCCAGCAGGGGGATGGACAAGGCAGCATACGCAGCGGAGCTGCAAGCGCAGATAGAAGAGAAGAAGGAGAGGGAGAGCAGGAGGAAGCAGGAAGAGAGAGAGCATGACGAGCGGATAGACAGGTCGATCGAAGGATACGACCCGTGGGGCCGGGCAGGAGCAGGGGCTCCGCACAGGGACGAGGAGGGGAATGTCATCGCAGACCTCCGAGCTCGCGGCTTACCTGCCATCAGCGGAGAGAAAAGTCTGGCGGCCTACGATAAATTCTATGGAGTTGAGAACGGGAGGGCAGGAGCAGGAGCAGGATGGGAAGGAGGGAAGCAGGCAGAGGATCGGAGATGGTCTAGCGCCGTGGATGGGGGAGGGATGTCGGATGAAGAGAAGGAGAGGGAAGAGCGAAACCTGAAGCAGCAGATGCTGAGGAGGGATCTTGAGGAGCAGATTGAGGAGAAGAAAAGGCAGAGAGAGAGGGAGAGGCTGCAGGAAAGAGAGCTGCAGATGAAGGAGGAGGCAAGGTAAGCCTTTCCCCTTCTGGCCCTAACCACCCCATTCCAGTCCCCACATATCCACCATCTCCATTTCTCCTCCTCCTCCTCCTATGTCTGACACTTTCACTATTGATTTACCAACACCAACACTACTCTACCCCGTTCTCCCCTCGCTGATCTTCATCGGTCGCTTCCTTGCTGCTCATTTGTCTCCTCCTGTCCTCTCAAGCTTCTTATCATCTTCCTGCAGACTGCGCAGAGCAGGAGTTCGCGTCCCTTCCTCGCTCGCCATCGGAGAAGGAGATGACAGGCTGCCGGCCATCGAAGAAGAGCTCGGAGGAGCGATCCTCAAGACCGAAGACCAACTCTCCGGGAACCAGGAGGAGGAGGACGAGAGGGGGAAGGGGGAGGAGGAGGAGGACGGCCTGCTCAAGGACTTCAGACTGTACAAGAAGACAAGCCTCTCGGACATCCGCAAACTTGACACTGACGAGAAGTATGCCAAGTTGCAACAGGAGCTGAGGGTGAGAACATCGGCACTCGATGATCTTGTTGCTCATTCATGGCAGGACATCATAAAGGTACAAGAGTCTATCCGAGGGGAACTCGCTCGGCAGGTACTCCTCCTTCCTTCTCCTCCTCCCTCTCTTCTCCCTCCCTCCCTGCTCCCTCCCTCCCTTCTCCTCCTCTCTCCCTTTTCTTCTTCTCTCCCTTCTCCTCTCCCCTCCTACCTTCCTCTCCTTCTCTTCCTCCCCTCTCCTCCTCTTGTTGGCGTCCTTCTCATTTGTTGCTATGAGAAGAATGTTGAGATCTCAAGGATGAGCTCACAATCAACAGTGAATGTCATTTCGAGCAAACAGGCAAAGGTAAGGCAACCATGTAAAGGAGCGAAGAACTGACAATGACGCAGGTGTTGATGGAAGATTACTACAACAATATCCTGGTAGTGAGAAATAGAAGAGAGGGGTGAATGATTGGAGACGAGGGGGGGGGGCAAGAGGATATTGTGAGTGAGGAGGAGGTGTAGCCATGAATGCTGATCCTTGCTTCTACAGCAGAATGACGACTGGAGAAATCAGAAGCCAAAGTTCGAACCTCAACAAGAGGTAGCATGTGATTCACATTCATTCTTTATCTTCCTCCTGTGCCTTCTATACTCTCTTGCGCTTCTTAATCTCTTGCCATTTCTTACACCCTGCATACCTTTCACTCCTGTCCTGTCCTCTCTTCTTTTTTCTCATTCGTTTCTCTCCTCCTCTTCGATCTTGATTTCTATTGGTTTCATCCTGTGATTGAATTGTATCCTACTCTCATTCTCTCTTGCTTAATTACCTCCTTTCAGCCGTCTTCTCGCCCCGTGAATGCATCGACCAATCAGATCCCAGCCATCATCCGATCCGGTACATTCACATCGTTCATTGTATCCTCATCTTTGCCTTTTGGTTGCTCCTCCTCCTCCTCCTCCTCCTCCTCCTCCTCCTCCTCCTCCTCCTCCTCCTTTCCTTCCATCCACTTTTGCCCTATCAGCTCTCACACCCGTCCTCCTCTTCTTCCTCCTCTTCCTCGTCCTCGTCCTTCCCTCTCCGTCTCCCTCCTTTCCTCCTGCTACCTCTCATCGCTGGCAACAGAAGCGAAGCTGCTTTACCCCAATGACCCCAACTACACGGGGCTTGGCATGCAGGAGTCGCTCATGAGAGGAGGAGGGGAGGAGGAAGGGAAGTTGGATCTCGATCGTCTCATCCTCAAGAACAAGATGCGACTGGCAGAACTGAGGAGGAGCATGAATGGGGTGAGAGGCTTTCAGCATGACATGATTTGATTTTCCTCCCTGCTCTCCTCTTCCTCCTCCACAACCACCAACACTGCCACTGCCTCCTCCCTTTACCATCAACATCATCACCACCACCACCTTCACCTCCTCCTCCTCCTCGTACCCTTCACTTTCGTACCCTGTGCCTCTACTCGGTTTCCCCTCCTTCTGGATCCTTCGAGCTCTGCTCTTGCCGTGAGCAATTTTCACTAGTTCTGATGTCAATGTTCAGGCTTCGTGACTCGCAGGGTCCTCATATTGAATGATCATGTTAACTGTAAATCATGGACATGTAATGAAATGATGAAACATAACGCTTGCTGATGCAAACCGACAACTTTTGGTTGCACATCGACTCTGTCTTCCTCTATCCCGGTCTTCTTGTGCAGACATCTCGTGAGTGTCTTGATGCTCATATCGTTATCTAGTCAAGATTACCGTTACTGTCCCTCGTTTTTATCACATGTCAAGTCTAATGTTGCACTGCCTCCCTTATCTCTTCATGTCTAGTTTTGTACTTCAATACCTCACTGACCTCCACGTCTCTTGTGAAAGCTTCAATCCTTTCTTTGGATTTGCATGTCTAGTCTTATATTGCACTATCTTACATTTGCATGTTCAATCTTGTTTCTAACGGTTCTATTCGCTTGCATCACGTTGTCGTGATATCGTTTTGTACACGTTTGCATCAAGTTGTTGTAATATCTTTCTGTACATGTTTGAAGAACTTCTTGGGGTCCTACAAGTTCACGCATGTCATTGATCAGCCTGTGAGCATGAGTAGGAGACTCACCATTGAGCTGTAAGCTTCTGTCTGTGCGTTAGGATTTGAGGACAGCGACAAGTCCACGCGCTCGGTTTGGCTCCTTCTGCGGAAGACGAATCTCTTCCCTCCTGCGACCTCACGGTTAAGAGCGTCACGAGCTGGCCGTCTCCTGAGCTTGTTCTTGGAAAGCTGCTAGAGGTCAGAGGTCAACATGAAGCCTGAAGCTCAAACGCACCTGCTCCTGCTCTCCTCGATCAACGTCGTCTACTATCAGCCGCGGCGTCGTGCTCTTGAAGTTGAAGAGATCCGCCCGCGACCGATCGCTGTCTACGCTTCTCTGACCTGCACAAGATCTCGGATCTGACGTGTATGGTCGCCGTCTTGCCGGTGTGAAGCTTGGCATCGGACAGAAGAAGGAGGACAGGTAAGGGTCAGACGGGAGGTCCCAGCCGTGCGGGCTGATTCCTATGTGAGAGCCCAGAGAATAAGCAGCGCGGGAGTGAAGGAAGACAGGAAGAGCGACAGGAGGACGAGTGCGAGGCCTTGGCTTCGAGTTAACACTGAGAGGCTTCAGCAAGTTCTTCAAGGAATCAGGTCGAGTGGGACCGGGCAGCCTGGAGGAAGCATCAACGAGCGAGCACAGCAGAGGTCCGGGTCAAGCATCATAATGTACCGTACTTGGATGTGCTAGCACTCATGTTCGATCGGCGGCAGCATGTCCTGTCGTGCCGCCCATTCCGCTCGACCGTGATGGTCTTGCTGCTGTGTCGTCAAGCCTCTGCCCAACGGACCTTCTCTACCACACGTTACTAAAGCCTAGGCCGGGTTGTCGGCGTGCCGCTCACAACCGGGCCGCGACTCCGAATTGAGTGACTGCCAGTGCGGCCCCCCGCCGCGGCCCGGGCCGGCCCGGCCAGAGCCGCGCCCGGGCCGCCGGGCGCCGCGCACCGGGCTGCCACCGGGCTGCGGCACTGATGGTCCTGGCCCACTGGCCCGCCGCCAAGGAGGCCCAGGCTCGCTTGAACCGGGCTCGGATTCGGGTAATTTAATTCATCATAGCAGTATCAAGACTCTTAAAATTGAAATGTCATACAACAAGTATAATGTACACTGAGGCGTCAGTTCTAAACTGTTACAACAGAAGAAGCTGAACTCAAACTTGATCGAGCATCTTCGTCAGTTCCCTTGCACTCGGTCGTTCGCTGGACACAGGGCTCCAACACCGGTCTACGATCCTTGCAAGCTCCTGGTGTTCTTGCTGCATCTTCTCCAGAGAAGGTCGTAATCCTTGCCTGATAAGATGACGTCATGGAAGAGAAGAAGAGGAGGTTGTTTCTTACCTTGCAGTTAGTTCAGCCAACAGTCGGGGCTCGATAGCGATGTGCGGGGGCTCACCATGATACATGTACCACATGACCATTCCAGCCGAGAACACATCCGCTGATGACGAATACGCAGCCGTATAACCGTCTTGCCCATCACTGAAGACCTCGGGCGCCATGTACCGCCAGGCTCCAGTATTGCCGCTCATTCGCTGCGAACCCTCTCCCGTCACCTGCGCTCCTTGCCTGACAAAAAGTGTGATCAGTCGGGGCTGTCCGCGCGTTTCAAGCAAAGGATCAAAGCTTACCAGGAGTAACGACCAACTTGGTTATCGATCACCTTGCACAGACCAAAGTCTGTAAGCTTGAGGAGGCTGCGGTCAGAGGAGATGAGGATGTTGTCGGGCTTCACGTCGCGATGGATAATGCTCGGTTTCCCATCGTGAAGGAACGCTAAGCCACAAGACAGCTGCTTCGACCATGAGACGACCAGGTCGATCGAGGGGCTGCTCGATCAAAGTCAGACTGTAACATCGCACTGGCTTGCAGCTGTTTCCTCACCGTTTCCCAGAACATTCCTCGTTATACAGCTGCTCCAATGTGCAGCCATCCACGAGCTCGTACACAATCTGTATGCTCGACCCTTCGAACGAGGCCCCAAGGAAGCTGACAATGTTGGGATGCTTTTGGAGGCTGGATGCAACTATCACCTCCTGCAAGTCAAGGTAAGCAGAGGGCAGCACATTACGGCCAAGGTCCCACTTGCATCATGTCTTTCATGGCATGGGAGGCCGAGCACCGTCTTGAAAGTACTTTAATCGCGACATCTGATCCGGATTCTTTCAGCCTGGCCCGGTAGACTGTGGCACATGAGCCTCTTCCAATCTCTTCAGCTCCTCTGAGGTCGATGTGTGAGCTGGGCATGTACCATTGCTCGGTCAGTGCCAAGATATGAATCACAGGCAGATCTCTCGGTCCCTGGTCGTTATGTGGAGGCTCTAGATCGAAAGATTGATCCGAAGAGTCTTCCATTGATTGCGCAATGTCATGGAAATCATCTTCATCGAAAGGGATTCCTATTGCTGTGTTGGTTTTATCAAGATCGAAACAGCTGTCTTCGAAACTGCGAACAGGAACAACTTTCTTGTCTTTTCTGTTTCGGGAGCTCTCCCTCCAACGAGGAAGCATCAAGCAACTTCTTGCCATCCGTTAAACTTGTATCCCTCGCGACAATCTCCCAATGGTGAGAGGTGAGTTGTTGAGATTTCAGGAGAATTGCGGATTCGAAGAAATCAACGTCAACAAAAGATGATAGAGAGAAGCCAAACAAGGGAATGAGCGAATGTGTTGCGGGAAAGATACAAGGTGAGGGGTAACGAGAAGTGCAACTCGGACGAGGAAAGATACAAACGCGAGGAAGAGATGCGTTCAAGAGGCTTGCTGTCAGATACAAACAAGGGATCGAAACGATGCGAAGCGTGAAACAATACGAGAAAGGGGTAGGTACGTAATTTGTATTTGTGTTGTGAGTGGGCGGTGGGGTACTGTACCATATCTTTATCAGGAAGAAGGAGGGGTAGTAAACTGTAACTGAAGTCAAAAGCCTGCAAGAGGGGGTAGGGTTACTACATATGGGTTGTAAATTGACCGATGTCAGCTTTTCCAGCGTAGACCCCCGGATGTCCACCCTCCACCCCCTCCACCCTCACTACACCTATTAATCACCCCATGTTTCCTCTATAAGTTGGAGTGCAACAAGGGGTTCAACCAGGAAGTACCCCTCCCGATGACCGGCACCACCTTACGGCCTGCCGGACATGTGTAGCCTGTAATGCCGCCATGAACTGGTAACCCCTCGTGACTATCCCCATCCCCGCTCAACCCCCTCCACCTAGCTACTGGCTCACCTCAAACCGACTCTTTTGGCCTACGATGCTCCTGCCAGCCGTAACTGCGGGATGGTCTTTGACTACCTACCCTAGGCTGCGTACGAGAACAATAGATCTGATCACCCCTCCCCTGTGCACCCCATTGTAAAGTAATACACACCCTTTCGCGTTAGGGCCGCACGGGTCCTGAAGGCTACAACATCACGACTATTCAATCATAAGGCGTATCTTCTTTACGGAGGCTTGCGACCCCAAACACACGGCGGCCGCTACCGTACTACGGCGGCGCCGCCCGGCCGTACTAGGGTTGCCACGGTGACACTGTGAATGGCCCGGGACCCCGTCAGACCGTCGGTCACGCGGTGCCAGTGAGGTCACGGTCAGCTGGTCAGGGCTACTGGACGAGTCCCGGAAGTCACTGGGGCCGGGCCAGCCGGGCCCGGGCCCCCGGGCCCGCGGCGGCCCGCGGCCGCCTCAGCTACGGTTTCCAGTGACTGAACTCGGAACAGTTACCGTGAATCACTGATCAGTGAATGGCTGGCAAGCCTCTGACGGTACGGTACGGTCTCCTGAGTTCAGTGGGCTCGGCAAGCCTCCGCCTCGAGTCGGAGTCTGCCGGCCGCTGACTCTGTGAGCCTCCGACTCGGCGGCCGCGCCTCGGCCGGAGTACCGGCGGTACGAGGTCACGCCCCGGAGTCTGTCCGATCAAGTCCGACTGAGTCACCGGGTGCCCGCCGCAGGGCCGCGGGCCCGCGGGGCCCGGGGCCGGGGGGCCGGGCGGGCCGCCCCCCGCGGGCCCGCGGCCGTGATACTGTACTCGGTACTCAGTCCGAGTCATGACACTGTCACAGCTGCGGGGGCCTCCGTGGCCCGGGGCTCGCCTGCTGGACCGTCCGACACTGGCGAGTCTGGCAGGGGCCTCCAATCACCCGGGGCGGGCCGCCTCGACGGTATAGTAGGGGTTGGCCAGATGCATAGACAACAGCGTCTCTTCAGCCATGGCTCGGTGGTTGGGAGCGGCGGCTGTGGCGGCGCTGGTGATTGTGATGGCATGCGAGAGGATCAGCGAGCATGGCATGAAACCTGGTGAGCTAGAGCAATCAAGACAAGACCTGGATGCCGAAGCACGAGCTATCGACGACAGATGGTCAACGCCAGACCCTTGGGCAATCGATTCCGACGAGCACACTTTGGCTTTCGGAAGAGAGCCGGCCGGACTGTCTGAGTTCTTCGAAGAGAACCCTCAGCGCTTTGCGCATGGTGAGGCCGGAGACTTCGAGTGGCCATACGTGTGGGAGGGGAAGGATGCCAGGGGCATGCGATCGGGGTATGATTGGCAAGGTGCGAGCACAGCAGTGAAGGTCAGAGGGTTGGACATGCCACCATCCCATGATGTCTTTGGCGAGCTTGGCCCTTTTCCCGCAATATCCACACGTGATGAGATGTATCCCGGTTCCAAGGTGCACGATGAAGTGGTCCCCCGTTGGTCCTTGCCCATGGCTCGAAGGCCCAGGTGAAGGTTGAGGAATTTTCAACTCCTGTCTTGTGACTCGTGACATGTGCAGAGCTGCTCTTTCACAGCTGAGGCTTCAGTCTCTTTCTCCGTCCTCGTACACTGACTTCACGATGTCGGGGGATGGCGTCAGGTGCGTTTGCGACTCGGCAGCTGCAGGAGACGAGGAGATGGAGGTTAGATCGAGCGACCTGACCTTAAAGCTGCTGAGAGGCCTGGCAGGGTCTCGACCCCAACGTAAGGCCTGCGTGCACCTGCACTGGGGGGAGAAGAACTTCCTTCAGCGGCACTGAGGAAGGAGGACCGCTGGATACAGGCGCTGAGGGTGCATGGCCGCAGGGCCTACCCGACAACGGAGGAGTGGCGTACATTGACGGAGGGTCGACAAGAGCCTACAAGTCCATCTCTGCTCAATCTCTTGCTGCTCTGCCGTCTCAGATGGAGCACAAGTGGATAACGCTGGTGAAGCTCGCTGAAGACGCGTTGAGCGAGGGCGGAAACAGCAGCGCCGTGCCTTCCGAAGCCTCCGAACCAGCAGAGGCGAAAGAGGATGACGGGCAGTCCGCCGTTGAGGGTTCTGAAGGAAATGAGAATGCCGATGCACAAGATTCTGTGGAAGATGAGACCAAGGAGGAGGGAGGAGAAGAGGTAAGAGAAGGTGAGGGTAAAGAGCTCGAGGAGCCTTCGGCTGCCAATGCAACAGCTGGCGACGAAGCGCAACATTCATCCAGTGCTGCCGAAGTAGAGGCGAAGCCTACCTGGTGGAAGCTGCATCACAACCCAAGTGCTTCACCTCTTGATCGGTTGGCGACCTTGAAGACCCTCTCGTGCTTATCCTGCTGCAGAAACCTCGTCGAGCGCTTCCGCAGAGTCTTCAGGATCTTTCTGAGCGAGTCCGCGTACTGCGATGAGCTGGGCGAGCGGGTAAAGATTGCCCGCAGTTCGTATTGGCCTCATGCTGTTCCAGTGTCGCGGGCGCTTGTGCGGGTGCAAACGGCGAGCAGGACGTCACATGTGCTACGGGTTGACGACAGCACGAGACCTCTGCCCGCTCTCCAAGACCCACGTGAGCGCCGACTTCAAGCGTCGCCTCCAGCTGAAGGCCTGCAGGTGTGCGAGGCGGAGGCTGTCAAGAAAGCCTACGGTCTGTGCAAGGACGTGGAGAAGTTGCCAGGCGTCAACGTGGATGAGGTGAGAGGCTGCTGGGGGGGTTGCGAAGAGGAGCTGAGGTGCTGCAGGCTCCCTTCTGGACGGAGGTGCAGGGCGAGCAGCCCCCCGCGACAACTTTCTTTGTGGCTCCACAGGGAGTTTACGATTAAAAGATGAAAGCTAGAGCATGGAACGAGAGCTGAACGAGGCTGCTGACCTGTCAGTCGCCCTCCCTCCCTTCCTCTTGCTCCTGTTGGCTGTCAGTCGGCGTCTTGGTCAAACTCTCGAGCTGTAGCGTGTCAGCTTCCACTCTCGCGACTTGACTTGTGAAGTAGCTGACAAGCTGCTGGTGCCGCCGATGACTCGCGATGTTGTCGAGGATCTTGGCCTCGAGCTCGTGATGCAGCATCGCGTTCTCGTTCTTGAGCGCCGCAACCTCGCGGAGGGCGGCTCTGCGATCCTCGTCGCACTTGTTGAGGATGAGGCGGCTCTGCGCCATTGATTGCGTCATGTCTTGGGTGATGGACTGCAACTTCGACCGCACTGACTTCACCTCCTCCTCTCGGTCTTCCAACTCACTCGCGTGCTGGACTCGTTGAGCCTCCAGCTGCTGTTGGGCCTCAAGCATCGTCTGCACCAGGCGCTCTATCTGACCATCTTTGGAGGTCAGCAGGTCCTGGACGAGCACCTGAAGCTTCGCCACGTCCTTCAACTTCACATCCATCCTCTCCATGTCCTCGGCCAACTTCATCAGCCTCTGAGCCACTTTGAGTTCGTTGGCTTCTTGTCGTCGGCTCTCTGAGCTCGAGTCGGCAGCCAACGACGTGAGCTCTTCTATCTCCCGCACAATCGCCTGCATCTGCTGAAAGATCCGTCGCCTCTCACTCTCCTGCGCGTTCCTCCCGCAGAGCTGCTCATGCTGCAGCCGCCGGCTCGTTTCTCGCAGCTCCTGGCAGGTGCTTGACAGCTCGTTGATCTCCTCGCGCGCTGCATGAAGCTTTCTCTGGATCCAGTGGAAGGCTTGCCGAGCCTCGTGGGCGCTGCTTGAGTTGCTGCTCTCACAGTAGATGAGGTTCTGCTTGAGATCCGAGACTTGAAGCTCCTTGCTCTTCACCTCTTCCAGCAAGAGTTTCGCGCGCTCCTTCTCTCCTTGCATTTCTTGTTCCAGAAGAAGCATACGCTCGTTTGCCTGTTGGAATCCTTCTTTCAACTCGTTACAGATCAGGCTCATCGCTTCGATGTTGTTCTTCATGTGCTTCATCTCCGTCGACATGTTCTTTGCCTTGATCTCACCGGAAGACTTCATGATATAAGACTTTGCTTCCATGGCTAAGATGTCTCGTTCCTGCATACACCAAACAGTGAGCGGCCATCTCAACACATGAGCGAGTACCTTTGAGGAGTACAAGTCTTTCAGCTTCATGTGATCTTCCTTGACCTGGCTGAGCTCGGACTTGGAGGCGTTGAGTTTCTTCCGCAGATCTCTTGCTGTTGTTTTCCAATTCATACCTTCCTTCTTGAGCTGGTCCAACCGACTGCTGGCTTCCGAGTTCTCTCTCTTTGATTTGTTCAAGCTTTCGTTCAACTTTGAGACTTTGTCTTCTAGGAATGTTTTCATCTTTCTGAGCGCCAGCAGCTCTGTTTGAAACAATATATCAGGCGCCCACCTACACAGCAACAAACGTTTCACCAGCGATCTCCTCGTGATTCTTCTGGTAATGTTTGATGACTCGAGTCACGAGGGCCTCATCTCGGGAAGAGCTGCTCTTCTCAGCTGCTGTGCTCGTCCTCGCGTCTGTCACTTCTCCCTCGCATCTTCGACCTGCCTTGTCCTCCGCGACGAGTTGCCGCCTGGCAGGTTCCGAGTCGTGCTGGAGCGGGAAATGTTCAAACTTATAGCCCACGACGGTGCCGTTGATGTCCGGTATCGAACAACCCAGCAGGCTGTTAGACTTGTCAGAGTCATCGTCTGAACTTCTGAAATTGTCTGCACCCAGGTTTCGTTCATTTCTGAGATGTGAGAGGTCGGCAAGCACTTGCTCGACATCTCGTTCGATCTTCATGGTCAGTTCTTCACAGACCCGGATGCTTGAGGACCAGCTACCATCCCCTTGCGACGACTCTCGCTCATGGGACTCGTTGCATTCAGTGTTTGAGTCTGAAGATGGAATCGTAGACATGTCGGCGTGATCTCGGTAGTTGTATGGTTTCGGTGACTTCCATGAGTTTGTCTCCGTGATCTGTCGTGCAAACCCCAGCTGCAAGTTTGATTGAAATCTTGACAGGATGCTGAACTTCTGCGGCGAACCCTCGGCTGCTCCAGCTCCGAAAGCTCCAGCTCCAGCTCCAGCTTCAGCTGGTTGTATCGGAGCCGTCCAGGAGCTCTGGGAGCGGTGAAGCTTCTCCATGACGGGGATGGAGTACTCGTGCGGCAGGCTGGAGCATCGGAGGAACTGCGAGTTGATGTAGGTGTGCCGAGGAGACACGAAGCTGTCGGGGCTCCGGCCGGGCGATCCGGTGGAGAGCTTCTGTATGCTCTCGAGAATGGCATTGACGAGGTCATGATCCAGCACACACAACCCCTCCTTGTCGTGAGTGACGAGAGTCTTCTCCTGGAGCGACTCGAAGATGGCAGACCTCGTCTTCATCTCCTCGATCGAGATCCTCATCAGCTTCGCCGTCAGTCGCTCGTCCGAGCTTCCCTTGCAGTACTCGATCTTGACGCAGGTACCAGGCCTGTCGCAGCCTACCAGCATGTCTCGCACGTTGCTCTCCGTCACCTCCACGTCATCGATCGCTACCACCGCATCTCCCACACACATCCCGCTGAAGAACGCCGGTCCTCCGAACTCAACGAGCTCGATGGTTGTGCCGTCCAGCTGGATACCAACCTACACATGTCGCCCTCAGTCTCCCCGTCGTCCTCTCTTCATCACTCACCGTAGAGTTTGTCGTGTCTCCCGTCCCGTTGTTGTGCGCTGTACGGGTGCATAGCGACAGCATGGATGCGTTGGTTCACGTACTCGAGCAGGGTAGGAGCTGCTCGTTCACCTCAGCAGCACGTCGCTCGCGTCAGTCTTCCTTGTTCGCCTCCCTCCCTCCCTCTCTTTGTCACCATTGCGACGGACCCGGGCCGGACCGACAGAAACAATTTTACTCAAAGCTCTTCTCAGACCTTCCAAGTCTCCTGTGGTGCCGCAAAGGACAAACAAGGCCGGCGGTACAAGAAGCGAGAGAGCTCGCAGTCAACTTATCAACTGATTCAAAGTGATTCATATGTATCTTGAAGGTAAAATGAGAGCTCGCAGTCAACTTATCAACTGATTCAAAGTGATTCATATGTATCTTGAAGGTAAAATGAGAGCTCGCAGTCAACTTATCAACTGATTCAAAGTGATTGATATGTATCTTGAAGGTAAACTGAGAGCTCGCAGTCAACTTATCAACTGATTCAAAGTGATTCATATGTATCTTGAAGGAGCTCGCAGTCAACTTATTCATATTTATCTTGAATGAAAACACAACTGAGGTCGACAAAAACGCGACACGCGACCTACATGAATGAATTTCTTGTCGCGTTGAGACAGGAGCGGAAAAGTGTTTGAGGTGGAGCAGAGGCAGCGACAGTGGATGAGACATGGGCCAACAGCAGAGAGAGACTGCAACCTACACGTGCGCTTTCATCCTCAGGCGGTCAGACCTTCACCGGCTGGATGGCTCGGGGCTCGCGAGCTATCCATACTCATCACTCGCGCAGAAACAGGAAGCGTTGGCAAGCACCTTACGCTCCAACACGATAGCCTCGTCGCCTGCCTGCACGGACGCCTTGCCGTGTCCTGATAAAAAGCAATCGAGGATGAGCAAGAGATTTTCGCCTCCTCCTCCTCCTCCTCCTCCTCCTCCTCCTCCTGCAGCATCACCAGGCTCAACTTGCCCTTGCTCTTCTTCAGGCCCATCAGCGTACATGATTTCCAGCAGACTCTACACAAACGATCACTCTATGGTTGGATCAAGGATGGCATGCCTTGCAGAAAGTAAGAACTCCCTCAGGCACTGAGAGCCGCCAGGCATGTCAGCAACTTTCAAGTCTCGTCTCAACGGCTCTCACCGTCGGGATTCTCTTCTGTCGATTGGCAAAGAAGCTCAACTGACCGCAACTTGCCGTAATAAAAATCTCTTTCCTTCTCGAGCTCTTGGACTGTGTGCTACCAACACGTTTTAGCTCCTCCCCACCAACTCCCTCCCTCAGCTGGATACCTGCAGGACCTCTATCTCGTTTCTGTACTGCTGTACCTGCTCCACTGCATGATTCAACTGCCGCGCACCAACATGGGAGACCTGGTGGTGGGAGAGCGCAGGCTCAGGGGTCCTGGTGCCCGGCGTGATGGTGGCAGGGGTGCACTGCAGGCTCAAGTGAGGGGAGGAGAAGCTCGAGGAGGGGGAGGACTCACGCTGTTCCTGGGACCAGGAGAGAGGAAAGGTGATTCCACGGACGAAGCTCGTGAGGCGGCTCCGACGTGGGAAGTGCCGTAGTGAGGCTTGCTGGGAGTCGAAGATTTCTTCGGGGTTCTAGTGGGAGACAAGCTGTGAACCGACGACTCACACGCCCTCCTGTACCGAGAGACCAGCGACGGCCCGGACGTCGCAACCTTCAGCCCCGCGTTCTGCCGCAAGTTCAATGTGGCACACAAGGGCAAAGGGAGCCCGTGCCGTACCTTCCTCCTTGCAACCGCGTCGTACTCGCAACCCCGCGAGTGCTCGTCGTAGAATCCCTTGCAGGTTTCAGAAGCACTTAGGGCCCAGAGAGATTGACCTTGAGCCACTGAAGAAACTCCAAGTTGTCGATCGGCCTGCCCTGAACGAGAGGTCAAGGACGGCAGATCGAGGCACCTGACCATGCGAACCTTCATCATCCTCTCGACATCCATCGGCTTCGAGATCCCCTTGACCATGAAGAATTGTTGCATGATCTTGCAGCAAACCTCAGAACCTAGAGATCATCTGACAGGCCTACCTTGTAGTTCTTGATCGATTCGTGCTGTCGGCATACAAGAGTCAGGGGGCGAGATCTCGCACGACAAGGAGTGGGCTCCAGCATACCTCAGCTTTCGCATGATATGATATCCTTTGCAGAGGGAATTCCTCCTGCCAACAGCCAAGAAAGTCAACAAGATTGGCAGTCGAAAGATGTGTGACTACCGGGTAGAGCGCGTCAAGGACCTGGCAATAAGCTGCTCCACTGAAACACTGGTCAAACTTGGATCGCCCCCATGACTCCACGTACTTGGCACATTGCTCGACTTTGGAGTAGTCTAACGACAGCAGGCCGTTGAGCCAGGTCAACAACTCTCCCTGCCAGGATAGCATCACAGGACGGGCCCGAGGCCAGAATCTTTCAGCAAGTCAGACCTTGGGTATGTATGTCTTCTGCTGCAGTTGCCCCCTTATGGCTTGCTGCATCACGCCAGCCTGAACAACCGAGAGGAGCAGCAGGAGTAGGGCAGTCGCCCAGTACCCTCGCATGAGCATGCTTGCTCGACTGGTGAGTTTTTACTGAATCCCTTCCCCACTTACAAGTTCAACTCCACCAGCTTTGTCCTCAGCTGCTCTTGATCGTCGTCATCTTATGGGCCCCTTAACTTCTCGTCCTCCTCCTTCGCTCCTCTCTCCTCCTTCCGCCCTCTCGCTTCGCCCCATCGCAACGACCGAACTGCATGGGTTATCGTGTATCCTCTTCCCCGCGCTGACCAATCCGAGCCAGTGGCCGCCATGCACAAACTGGTCGGGGGCCTCGTGCTGCTGGCGGCACTGGAGACGTCGAGCGGCTTCCTGTCGCCATACAGCTTCAAGTCGGTCGACAGCATGAGGATCGAGAGGAGAGACGTGACCAGGCGCCTTCCTTCGCCTGCCATCTCCTGCTCTCCCTCACGCCGCGAACCTTCAGGTCTTCGCTTGGGCATGGCGGCAGAGGTTGAGAGCGCGAGGATCACACAAAGCAGCTTCCCGTTCGATGGCAAGCAGGTCTTCTACGTCAAGGTCGAGCCGCCTGAGAGCCTTCGCAAGCCTGACTTCCCGCCCATCATCTTCCTGCATGGCCTCGGGTCACACAGCGTTCACTTTAGCAAGAACATGAAGGAGGTCAGCATGCAGACAGGCGCGTGCGTGTACGGGTTAGACTTCCTCGGGTTGGGGAGATCTTCGAAGCCGGTGCTCATTCTTGCTTGTCTGGAACCATCTGATATTGTGACGCAGGGGAATACTCGATATGGACAGGACACCTGGGCCTGGCAAGTGAGTTGCTTGGTAGAAGAGGTAAGAAGTCTCTTCTTCTTGCTCTCTGCTTCTTCTTCTTGCTCTCTTCTTACCTCAGTCGTCCTGCTCTCCAGGTTCTCAATGCAGAGAAAGTCTTCATCGTTGGCCACTCCGCTGGAGGATACGTGGGCATGTGCTATGCTGCCGACCAACCAGCCAAGGTAGCAGGATTGTGCGTGGTCGGATGTGCAGGTAAACTTCTTCCTCCCTCCTCCCTCCTCCCTCGACTTTTCCTCTCCTCTTCTTGTGCCTCCGCCATTCCGAGACTCCCTCTGCCTGCCATTCCTTCCCGATTCCCACTTCACTAGTTCCGCATTCACTTCCCTCCCTCTTGTCCGGTGCTCCCTGCTGCTCTCCTTTCTGTGAGCGCGCCATACATGCAGGACAGTACGGAGTAATCGGGCCAAGCCGATTCTACATCCCCTTCCTCAGGATTGGGTTCATCTCCAAGGTAAAAGTCTCTTCCTACCTCCCGTTCAACTTACTGGCGAGCAGCTCGTGGGTGGATGGATAGTCGAACAGATCAGAGATCCTGAGTATGAGAGGGAGGAGGGAGGAGAGGAGGGGAATGGGGATGGAGGGGGAGGGGCGGAGGGGGAGAGAGAGGGTCCCATGTGATCTTGCTGGTCAGGCTGCTGAAGAAGCAGCTCGAAAGGATGTACGTCAACAAGGATGCGGTGAGTTTATCCTGCTCATTGTGCCTTTATCTTATCCCCTGCATCTGCTTTTACCTCTCTTTCTTTTCCTCCTCCTCCTCCTCGTCCTCGTTTTCCTCCTCGTCCTCCTCGTCCTCCTTTTCTTCCTCCTTTTTTTTCCCCTTCTCCTTTCCCTCCTCCTTGTCCTTTTTCTTTTCTTCCTCGTCCTTCTCCACTACCACCACCTCCACTTCAACCACTATCTGCGTGCTGACAATCTCTCGGTACAGATCAACAAGAACCTGGTGGATGGATTGAGTTGCATCTGGAAAGACGAAGACACCTTCACCCGTGGAAAGGAGGTAAGAAGGAGGCGAAACGAGGCGCGAAGATAAGGTCGGGAGGAAGGTAGAGAGAAGTTCAGTGGGGCACGCAGTGAAGTAGGTCGGAGACGGACACGAGAAGCGGTTTGAAGGGGATAGAGGAACACGTGCAGGAGCAGGAGCACATGCAAGAGCAGGAGCAGGAGCAGGAGCAGGAGCAGGAGCAGGAGCACTGCAGGAGCGGCAGGAGCAGGAGCGCTGCAGGAGCAGCAGGAGCAGGAGCACTGGTGAAGTCATGGTCTCTTCTTTCTGACAGAATTCCTGGAAGATCTTCACCAACATCGTCAAGGGCGAACCAGGGAGGAAGTGGGGTCAGCTGGCAAGTTTCTCCTCGCTCATCCTCCTCATCCTCCTCTCCCTTTCACCTTCCCAGCTGCCTGCCGATCTTCTGATGCCCCACGCTCCTTCCCTCCCCTCCTCCACTTCATCTCCTCTCCTCCCCTCCCCTTCCTCGCTCTTCCAGTTTCCTATCTTCCTCTCTCTCTCTCCACCACCCCCCCCCATAGGGTCAGTCACGGTCCGGGCAAGAATTCTTACCGTTTCGGGTTTATTCATGAATTGTGATTATTCGAGTGGGACTATTAAAAAGGAATGCAAATAT